CCAGATTAGCCCACCTGCTGAGCCACTGGAGGGGGCGGCCGGCCCACGGGTCCTCTGCCCCTCCCTTCGCAGTCTCTTCTGGGCTCTAAGCTCTGAGAGCTCCTGCCACCCGGCTCCCCCTGCCCCTTCGTGCCTAGTGGGGACAATAGCTCCTGCTCTGTCTGATACCTGATCTGCTCTGTCCCTGAAAAGTCCACGTAAACTCCTTCCTTTTGTTTTTTGGCCGTGCCGTGCAGCATGCGGGATCTTAGTTCCCTGACCGGGGTTTGAACCTGCAGCCCCTACAGTGGAAACGCAGAGTCCTAACCACTGGACCGCCAGGTAAGTCCCTAAACTGTCCTTAGTTAAAACTTCTGCTGACGCAGAAGGAAAAAGCCAAAGCTGATCTCACGAGACCTTTAGTCAACAGGCGCCGTGTGTGAGGCCCTGCCCCCAGCGGCGCGTCCATTGACACCCAAGAGGAGACGAGTGGAAATAAAGATACATCTGAACAACACAGTTATGCACAGAATGATTCCTTCCAGCCACGGGCTGCAAAGCTCTCCTCAACAGACCTGTATCATCATGGAGGTCACCATGCCATCAAAGGCCCTGCAAAGAGAAACAGACAATCAGAGAAGCAGACCCAGGCCCTCCATCCCTGGCTGGCAGAGATGTCAGTCTCTGAGGTCCAGGTGAGTAAAATTGGCTGAGGCCAGGACATGCATGCCGCCACATCAGGCGGTGAGAATCTGAGTCTCCCACCTCATTCCTGTGCGGTTTCCCACGGTGCTGTCCTTGCTGGGTCTCCAGGCCGGGGTGGGGGTGGGGGGACACCCAGGATGACCCAAGACACATTGTCACCACTGAGGGAAGGCGCCATAGGAAGGGGTCATCTTCCCTGGCTGGGGTCACCTGCCGGCTACAAGGAACCCCTTGGGAACTGTGTCTGGGATGCAGGGAATTCCCAGAGCAGGTTTGGAGCACGTGCTCGTGAATGCTTCTTTGGGAAGCATCATTGTGACATCCAGGTGTTAGGTCTGTGTTTACCTGAAGGCTATTTGGAAGACACCTGCAACCTAATTTCTTAATTGTTTAAGTTCAACGTCAAAGACAAAATCGGGCAGCGACAGGAGGACGTTTTCTCCCAGAGGCTCCTGTCCATATGCCTGGGCCCTCACTGGGATCTGGGGAGGCGCCCCAGGACCTGCTGGGCTGACCTGAGCGACCAGATGGGCAAGCTCTGCACCTCCCGCTCCCCAACTCCCCTTCTGCTGATCTGGAGATCCAAGGAAGAGTTTGTTTGGAAAAACAGGCTTCTGCCTCTTCAGAATGGCTGCCTTAGAGGGACAGTGCCCGTCGCTTAAAAAGACCTTCCCTCCCTGCCTCTCAGAATCGCTGCCTCTCAGCAAGGCGGGGGCTACCCAAGAAGGCGCCACGCCCACCTGGATTGAATGCGGTCCCCCGGGTCATAGAAGGGGTTGCACATCACGTCTGTGTAGGAGTTGTGCAGCTTCCTGAACATCTGAAACAAGAACCAACAATGTGTTTAATTCACATGTGCAAGTACACACGGCTGCTGCCATGCTCGGGCTTCTCAGCATTTCTGAACAAAGACGGAAAACCAAGTGGCCAGACGCGCCCACCGGCCCCCACACTCACACTGCGAATCTCGTTGTCTCTGAGCGCCGTGTTGGAGGCATCCACCACCATGACAAACTTTACCTTGGAGTTGGTCACGTAGCCGTATCTGCACAGCCGGTTAGGGAACACGCTCTTAACACGGGACTCTGTGACCAGCCCCAAGCACGGCATCACCGTGCAGAGCCTGCGAGAGGAAGGCCATCTGTGCATGTCCTCCGGCTGCTAAGCTGCTCTGGAGAAGCATGACAACCTGCACCACAACAAGTGCCCCAGGCTGGGCCACTCCCACAGTGCCAGGAGGACACAGGACTGCACCAGGTGTGACTGGACACTTCCTCAGACAGCTTCTGGTGTTTACTGGAGAAGCAAAGGGCAGGAAGCTAAGCCTTATCATGATTCAAGCCCCGGGGCAACCTGCCCAAACCCTGGGGCACCTCGCCTTCTCTCTGCATCAGTTCCCAGCTGGGAAGGGTTAACTGCAAGACCAGAGGTTGCACAAATGAGGTGAATCCTGCCTAAGGTACCTATACCTCTAAAGGCCACTCCATCTTGCGGAACAGTGGCTCCGGGCAGTGACACTGGGCGAGCTCGTTACTGCTTGTGGGAATGTCTTTGAACTCCATGGGTTTCGAGCCATTTGTCCCAAGGACTGGTCAAGACCTTACAGTGACTGGTGGGGCTGGGCCTGGCAAAGAGATGAGCGGGGACTTCTCTGGCGGTCCAGTGGCTAAGGCTCCACGCTCCCAATGCAGGGGACCCGGGTTTGATCCCTGCTCGGGGAACTAGATCCCACATACTGCAACTAATAGTCCATATGCCGCAACTAAAGACCCTGCACGCTACAAGGAATATCCCACATGCCGCAAGTAAGACCCCCTGCAGCCTAAATGAATAAATACTAAAAAAAAAAAAGGATGCGTGAACAATGACCCCTTGCTCAGGAGGTGGTGGCCCCGCTGAGACGGCATGAAGCCAGAAAGACCCCAGTTCCTCCACAAACCCAAGGGACAGGTGGGGACCGTCACAAGGCAATTCAAGCCTGGCTGTTCCCACATTATCCTCCTAAGAAAAAAGGGTGTGAGGTCCTAAGTGTCCTCAAGCTGCTCTAATTCCCCACTGGCCAAAAGCCCGCATCTTTTTCTCCTCTTCAAGTGATGTTACGAGATGCTTTTCAAGGGGACCTAACACTACATTGCACCCTGTGACTGCAGGGAATCCCCAGACTTGAAGCCACTGCCAGGTGCGAGGATACACCTTGTAGTCTTCTGTGGGGTACAGCAGGCCCAGGTAGAGCTCCCTCTGGTCCACCAGGGCCTTCCCCATTGCTGAGATCTTCTCGTCCACCACGTCCAGGGATGTGTGCACCATGTAGTGAAACTTGAGCTCATTCTCCGTAGGGACGCTGCGGATGTAAAGAGGGTAATTCTGCAAGAAAAGGATGATGGCGGCTGAAGTGACAAGGATCCACCCCATGTGCGCTGGCCTGGAAAACAAGGCCACGGGGCACTCAGGAGGGCAGATCGGCCAAGTGCCAATTAGCCGTGGAATACGCTCTCATTCCCCAAAACCCACTGCTTAATCCTCCAAACTGGGACTTCCCTGGTGGCGCAGTACTTAAGAATCCGCCTGCCAATGCAGGGGACACGGGTTCGAGCCCTGGTCTGGGAAGATCCCACATGCCACAGAGCAACTAAGCCCGTGCACCACAACTACTGAGCCTGCGCTCTAGAGCCCGTGAGCCACAACTACTGAGCCCGCGCACCACAACTACTGAAGCCCGCGTGCCTACGGCCCGTGCTCCCCAACAAGAGAAGCAACCCGCTTGCTGCAACTAGAGAAAGCCCGCGCGCAGCAACAAAGACCCAAGGACGAAGACCCAAAGCAGCCGAAAAAAATAAATAAATAAACTTTAAAAAATCCTTCAAATTGCTGTGGGCATTGCCTTCAGGGCGCCCAATCTAATCTGAGGAGGTTTTCATACTGTCTGCAAAGGGGCATGGGTAGGATGGGCAGAAAAGAGAAGACGGCTCTGAGAAGTGGGTCTGAGCGCAGCCTGTCACTCACCTTCTGAGCAGGGCCCCATCCTAGCACGTGCCCTCCTCCTGGCCCCATCATACTGGCTTTTTCCCAACACTCCAGCTCCTGCAGTCTCAGAGGGACTGGCAGGCTCCCTCTAAACCCGTCAAGGCTTGTCTCAGACCTCCATCTCTGCAGAGCCATTTCCAAACAACCTAACCCCGGAGTTAATAGCGTCTTCCCAGCTCCCACAGGCCTGGCACTGCACAGATATAGTGCACACAACGCTGTCCCTACCCTGATGGAGATGACAGATGAAGGAGACAGTCCACAAACCCACCAACAAATAACGCAGCAAGTGGTAAGACGGAAGCCAGCGTAACAAAAGCTTCACGGGAAAGCCTCCTCAGAAGCCTAGTCTTTCAAAAGGCCGGGGCGGACACCACGGCTCTGTGCAGTAGGAGCGCGTGGTTGGCCACGCAGCTCAATCTCAGGATTCAGAAAGAGCTTTCTAGAGAAAGTGAAATCTTTGGTGGCCAGTGGAGGGGACAGGAGTGGGGGAGGAGGAGGAAGGGGTTCCAGGTGCAGAGGCCCAGACGTGAGGGAGCAGAGCCTGCCGGGGGAGCTGCAGGTAAGTCCGTCAGCTGGAGTGGAGGGTGTCTGTGGTACGGCAAGGGGATTATTCAGACATGATCCTACGGCAATGAGAAGCCACTGTTGAGGTTTCTAGGCAGAGGTGTGCCACGGTCTGACTTGTGGCTGCTGAGCGGAGAGGAAACAGTCACTCGTCCGGGGGTCGACGGCCTGGCCGTTGGGAGCGCGCGGCCGAGCAGGATGGACAGAAGTGGACGCCTAGACTCGGGAGCAGGAAACCACAAAGCCCGCGGACGGATGGCTGGGCGGAGCGGGGGCCCGCACGGAAGAGGAAGACCCGGCCCGTGACGCTTCGGCAGCGGCAGGTGCAGGCCCGGGCGGCACCTCCCCCGGGCCCGCCCCTCGCCACCTACGCTCGGCAAAGCCCCCGGGCCCCCACTCCGGAGCCCTTGCGGCAGGGAAGGAGGGGAACCGGAGAGCTAGGCTGACGCTGGAGCGGGAGAACGCACCTCCTTGGCGATCACCGCTACGCAAACCGCCATCCTGGGAGCCCGACAGGCCGCATCACGTGACGACGACGACGGTCACGCGGCCGGCTAGGCCCCGCCCCACCCGCCTGTCGCATCCCTGTCACTCAGCCGGTCTGACCCCGCCCTACCTCTCATTCTGTTGGTCAGGGCCCCGCTTCTCCCGTCACTCAGCCGGCATGGCCCCGCCCTATCGCCCAGCCGGAAGGACCGCCCGCTTCGCCGGGCCGTTCCCGCCGCTCCGCCGGGCCGTTCCCGCCGCTCCGCCGGGCCGTTCCCGCCGCTCCGGGGCTCGGTGGCGCTCGCCGTGGTTGCCATGGCGGCGGTTCCTGCGGCGACGAGGTGGCGGCTGCTTCTGGTGCTGAGCGCCGCGGGGCTGGGGGTCACAGGCGCCCCGCAGCCCCCCAACATCGTGCTCCTGCTCATGGACGACGTGAGTGCGGGTGTGGGCCGGGCTCCCGGGAGGAGTGCGCTCGGGCGGGGTTGGGGGCGGCCGGCGGTGTGGGGGTCGCGCCTAGCCCTGCAGGCCGCAGCCTGGCTCGTGGGTGAGGGTGAAGTGAGGTGTAGTGTCCAGGCCGGGACAGGAGAAGACCCTCCTTCCCTGTTCCGTCCCCCGCTCCTTCCGCTGCCCCTCAGGCCTGCTGCGACGCTGGCCGCGTGAGGACCACCTCCCCAGGATCCCTGCTCTCGCCTGCCGCCCCCCACTGCTGGGGGTGTGGGTGGCAGGGAAGCGGTGCAGAGCTAAGACCCCGGCCTGCCTGCCCTCCCTGGAAGTCGCCTTCCCCGCTGCCTGCCTTTGGCCTGCCGGGCCTGCCCTGGGAACCGGAGGAATGTCCCCGGATGGGCGTGTGTGTAGCCCCAGGCCACCCTGGCCACAGCGGCAGGCCAACCCTTCCCACAGAGCCGTGCTGTTCGTGCCTCCTTTGCGACTTGGTCCCTGTGCTCCTTCCCAAGGAAGCGGGACTGTATTTGGGGGGCACTTTTTGGGGAGTGAAATGGAGGTTCTGAAATTAGTCCATGTGAGGCGTTGGGGTAAAGTGGGGACGCAGACAAACCTGGGTTCAGGTGCCTGCTGCACTGAGCTGTGGGGAGACCACGGCCCTTTGGGCCTCCCCTCCGCCCATCTTGAGGGCTGAGGCAGTGCAGAGGGTCCTGCATTCGGCTCCTAAACCCTCGAATCCGGAGTGATACCAGTGTCTGTGGCGGGGGGGG